AGAATGCCAGTTCAAGTCCCAGCTGCTCCTCTTCCAATGCAGCTCCCTACTAATGTGCCCCTATTCAGTCTTAAAAAGGAATGAAATTCTGATACATACTACAACACTGATGGACCTTGAAGACATGTTAAGTAATGAGATATAGGTATTATATAGTAAATGTTTATTTACTATATTTATTAAATATAGTCTATCTTTCCCACAGAAGACAGAAAAGAAAAAAGCATCATAAATAGGAATCATAAAACAAGACAGTGAAAATTAATGCTAAAAAAAATCAGTCATGACCACAGTAAATTCAATTTGCTCTAAGGATGTTAAAATAAAAACTGTTAGACTGAATTTTATTAAAAGCCCAACTTTGTTTACACGTACACTTAATGAAAACTTGAAAGAAAAAAAACTACACTAGTCAAATACTCAACAGGTGCAAGGTGGTAAAGCAACATTAACGTCTGATGAACAGATATGAAGGCAAAAAGCATCAGGGACGAAGATCTCCATGTAATGATAAGTGGGAAACTTCACCAGAAGACACGATCATTCTGAAGTTATGTAAGCTTAATAACATTGCTTCAAAATACTTAAGCAAAAATTCACAGAAATTGTAAGATTTTAATGATCCAAAATAACAGCAAGAACATTTGACAAAGCTCTTTGGTTTCTGATAGATCAAACAGACAAAAAATAGTAAGGATATAAGACAAAAAATAGTAAGGATATAAAGCTTGATCTAATTTTTGGACAGATATAAACTGTTGCATTCATCAACTAAAAAAAAATCCACTTTCTTCTCTGGAACACATAGGTCATTGAAAACTGTCCATCAATCAGGCCTCAAAGCAAATCTCAATGAACATGAAAGAACTGATATTACATAGTCTCCAAATGCAAACTATTAGCTGGAAAAAAAAAAGAATCAATGAGCTAGAAATTAGGTAAGAAAAAACTGAGCTCAAAGAGAGCACAATGAAAGGAAAAGAATATAACAGGAAAAAGGACCAAAATAATGCGGCTAGAAGAAATTAAATATGTAAAACCAAGGTGGGAAAATCCGGCCTGTGGCCATATAAAGCCCACAAAATCATTCAGTCTGGCTCTGCTAAGGCAACCACAGGCATGACTCAAAGGTTAATAAACCTATAGCAGACTGATTTTTTTTAAAAAAAAGACTGATTTATTTGAGAGGGAGGGGGAGAGGGAGGGAGAGGGAGAGAGGGGGGAGAGGAGGGGAGAGAGGTAGAGAGGAGGGGTAGAGAGGAGGGGGGAGAGGAGGGGGAGAGAGAAGGAAGGAGGGGGAGGGAGGAGGGGGGACAGGGGAGAAAGGGGGGAGAGAGGAAAGGGGAGAGAGGAGGGGGGAGAGAGGAGAGAGGAGAGGGGAGAGAGGAGAGGGGAGAGAGGAGGGGGGAGAGGGGAGAAAGGAGGGGGGAGAGGGGAGAGAGAAGGGGGGAGAGCAGGGAGAGAGGGGAAGAGAGGGGAGGGAGGGGGAGAGAGGGAAAGAGGGAAAGAAGGAGAAAGAGGAGGGGGGAGGTGTGGGGGGCAACTCGGACTAGACTAAGTTACTGGAATTAAGACTTATTCTATGCATCTGCTCTCCCACAATATGGCACTGAGAAGGGAGAACCAGCTTCTACACAGCTGCCTCCAGTTCAACCAATAAACTGTAGGACCTACTCCTGATTGGAGGAGAGCAGCCTACTCGGCGTGTGGGTAGCAGAGTTGGGATTGGTGGAAGAGGACTATAAAGGAGGAGAGAGACAACATGCACCAGGAACATCTAAGGGGAACATCTATTTGAAGGAACACCTGTGCAGCCCCCGAGAGAGCCGGCCGGCGGTGTGCCGCTCCCCCGCGGAAGTGGGGAAAGTGGCAGGGGGAACCGCCCTTCCACGGAGGTGGAAGGGATGGTAGCCAACCCGGGAAGAACCAGCAGCAAACCCGGGGAGGGCAGAGCAGACGAAAGAACAGCGCAGGGTCCTGTGTCGTTCCTCCATGAAGAGGGGGAGCGACAGGAGGTGGGGGAAGAGAGAGAGAGAGATCTTCCATCTGCTAGTTCACTCTCTAAATCAGCAGCTTTACCTGCTATGCCACAGTGCTGGCTCCAAGTGGACTGCCTTTTTTTCTTTTTCCCAAAGATTTATTTATTTGAAAGGCAAAGTTACAGAGAGGAAGAGAGAGACAATCTTCTATCTGTTAGTTTACTCCCCAAATGGCTACAACAGCTGAGCCAACCTGGAGGCCAGAGCTAGGAGCCTCTTCTGGTCTTCCACTGCTTTCCCAGGGCACAGGAGAGAGCTGGATCAGAAGTAGAGCAGCTGGGACTAGAACTGGAGCCCACATGGGATGCTGGCACTGCAGGTGGTGGTTTTACTCGCTACGCCACAGTGTCAGCCCCGCAGACTGATTTTTATTTTTTAATTTTTTTTATTTTTTGACAGGCAGAGTTAGACAGTGAGAGAGAGAGAGAGAGAGAGAGAGAGAGAGAAAGGTCTTCCTTCCGTTGGTTCATTCCCAAAATGGCCGCGCAGCCGGCACGCAGCACCGATCAAAGCCAGGAGCCAGGTGCTTCCTCCTGGTCTCCCATGCAGGTGCAGGGCCCAAGGACTTGGGCCATCCTCCACTGCCTTCCCGGACCCCAGCAGAGAGCTGGATTGGAAGAGGAGCAACCAGGACAGACTCTGGTGCCCCGACCGAGACAAAACCCGGTGTGCCGGCGCCGCAGGTGGAGGATTAGCCAAGTGAGCCGTGGAACCAGCCTTTGACTGATTTTTAAAGTGATAATTTTGTATGGCCTGTGAATTATGTTATAAATACCCCAATGGCCTGTGGCAGAAAAAAAGGTTCTCCATCCCTAAAAACCATACTTAAATAGAGGGTCTTCAAAAAGTTCACAGGAAATACATATTACGAAAAACTATATGTGGATTTCAAACATTTGTTGCAACAGAATACATCTACTTTTTAATTCCATTTTCCATGAACTTCTTGAAGTACCCTTGTACTTCACACAATTTCCATTATAGTATATCTAACTGCTATATTAATTCACTCATTTCACTAGAGAAAAATGTACTGGCCACAGATGAGATTATTCCTAAAAGTTCACTATTCAGTTAATTATTTATTGTTGTTTACCACAGTCAAGGCAGTATCCTAGGTGGTGGTATGTACTGAGTGGGGAATATTTATAGTCCAGTAATAGCACTGGGTATATAAATGACCCAGAATACAAAGTAATAAAATTCACGTATTTCTGTGGCAGTTCAGAGGCAGGAGAGGTCAATTCTAATTCACCGTGGGGTGAGGGATTCAGGAAGAGGTAGCCTGGAAATTTACGCGGAATTTGGATTTGGAGAGATAAGAAGAAAGGGCGGGAGAACAGCTACAAAGTCAAGGCAGGCAGCATATGTAAAGTAGACCTAACATCAACAGAGAATGACTCTGGGTAGAACACAGACCAAGGGGGAAGACGCGGCCAGAGGGGCGGCCTGGAGCCAACTCAGCTCAGTGGAGCAAAGACCCTCTTCACCGGGGTGAGCCACCACCGAGACCAAGACAGAAAAGGCTTTTAATTATCACACCTATTTCTTCTGATAGCCACTTCAGTTTCATTTTATGGAAGCCAAGTGCCGAGCCGCTCAGGAAGGATTCAGAATGAACACACCGCGGGGCTGGGGAACCCTGGAGCCGTATTTAAAGGTCATTTCTTTCTTCCTCCTGGATGTATGACTTAATTTCTTGTTTTCTTCTTATTATTCTTTTTTTTTTTTAATATAAGATCTTCCCTGCCTCCTTTTGGAGGTTTTTGTGAGGATGAAATGTTAAAATGTAAATAAATAAGTGACAAGGCTAGCAATGAAAGCACGAGGGGCCATGGAAATGTCTGTGATGTGCAGTGGGGGGTGGTTTCACACTTACCCACAGAGGCAGCTGGTGGTGGCCAGTCCCTGCTAGTCTGCCCCTCCCTCCTCTTCCCTTCAGGCAGGTCTTCAAAAAGTTCATGGAAAATGTGCATTACCGAAAAATGATGCACGGATTTCAAATGCTTTTGTACCCAAATAAGCTTATCTGTTAATTCCATTTCCCATGGACTTCTTGAAGTATCCTTGTATATTTACTGCAGAGGACAAACTCCTAGGCACCATTCCCCATATGAAAATCCTTAAAACCTACTGGAGATAATTATTACTTTTCTGCCTCCTCTCTCCCAGACTAAATCCCAGTGTCTTTGAATTTTTCCTACAAATTTTATTTTTCTATCCTTTCATTTAGCAAGATCTTAAATCTAGATTCTACACTTCTCATGATCCATGTCCATCTTACAAACTCTTGGGATCTCTGGTTGTTCCAGCTCCATGGTCTGTGAGCCTCACTGTTGAATTTGTTGGTAACTCCTATACTAAACAAGTTTTACTAGATGTCCTTAAATCCCGTTCAATCAAACTCACAGAAAGCCAACCATACAAGCACTATTTTGAAGTCTTACTGATCACTGGCTGTGTCTCTGCTCCCAGAGTGAAATCACGTATTTTTAAATGACAGTGGCTAAAATGCCCTTTATTTTTCTTTGCCATCAACACTATAAAAACTTAACTCTTCACTTTCTCTTTTTGTTAATTCAAGTGTAAGTTTTGGTACCAACTTGGTTATCACGTATTTAAGTGTTCTAAATTCAAAGTATCTCATGTTGGGCTTTTTACACTAGTGAATTCTCCAGCTGTTTTGACTTTAACACCAAATAAACACAGATAGTCTTCTCTAAATTGCTAAAAATCAGAGAGTTCACAAAAATGGGTTATTAGAGACTAAAAACTACCACTACAACTTTCAAAATAAGTGAATTTTTACTCACTACTTTCTTTTGTTTAAAAGTTATAATTTTGCCCTACATAAATATAAAGGCTATTCCTCATGCTTCTTCATCTTGTACTTTTTAACTTTTCATCACTTCTCAAAGAATAGAATTACCACCCCCACCCCCGCCAGTCCATTTCACTCACCTACAGAAAGGGCTGGGAATAGTAGGTATCACGTAACAAATCCCCCCATTCAGGCAGAATGACCTGTGACTGGAACCACAGGGCTCTTCGTGATCTAAAACACATACATATATGAAAAAGAGAAAGGCAAATCGAAGCTTTTCTAATGGGACAAGAAATAGGAATGAGTATCTTTGAATGAAGTCACAATTTAAAAAATTAAAATGAATTTTTTTCTCAAATTTTTTTTTTTTTTTGGACAGGCAGAGTGGACAGTGAGGGGGAGAGAGAGAGAGAGAGAGAGAAAGGTCTTCCTTTGCTGTTGGTTCACCCCCCAGTGGCTGCTGCGGCCGGCGCACCGCGCTGATCCGAAGCCAGGAGCCAGGTGCTTCTCCTGGTCTCCCATGCGGGTGCAGGGCCCAAGCACTTGGGCCATCCTCCACTGCACTCCCGGGCCACAGCAGAGAGCTGAACTGGAAGAGGAGCAACCGGGACAGAATCTGGTGCCCTGACCAGGACTAGAACCCGGGGTGCTGGCGCCTCAGGCAGAGGATTAGCCTAGTGAGCCACGGTGCCAGCCTTTTTTCTCAAAATTAAACACTTCATCTTATTCTTTATTTGATAGGCATGGGTATATATATCCCTTTGAGAGAAAAACTAATCTCTCCTAAGGATATGACCATTAATTATAATGCATTTAGAAGCTATGTAACAGAAATGGCATCTCTTCATCAGATTAAAAACATGATTAGATCATAGTATAAACCCAGGGTCTTGCTGAATACAGAGATTCCGTAGTATCTGAACTTCCCTGTGCTAAGAGTGTTTTTCAATCCTTATTTTTCCTATTAGGTCTCAAGTACATGAAAATTTGAAATTGTGGTGAGAAAAAGATAATTATGTTTTGATTTCCAAAATTATCTTTGTCATACATAATAATATTTAATGTTTTTAAGGTAATAGCTAGCAACTGTATATGGTTATCTTCTTAGAACTCTACCTATAAAATACATGAAATTTGTTTTCACATTAATAAGAATAAAAGAAAATGAAAGAAAAATCCTGAAGCAAGACTGAAAACCTAAGTGAGTACTTGCTACACAGCCAACACTCTCAACACATTAAGAAACCAGTTTCCCTTCTCACATCGCAGTCTCTGAGCTGTCCACTGTCTTTCTGTCCTTGCCCACCCCCTCTCCCTGGGTAACTCCCCTTCTTTCCTGGCCTATCCTCACACTCCACATTAAAAAATGCCTTTCCTTCCTGCTTTCCTTCCACTCATGGTCACCAAAAATGTTGTACAGAAAAAAAATTTAGGAACAACAATAGTCAAATTCGTTTAGTCAATGTACTACTGTGGTACAAGAGAAAACTGAATATTTTGTCTTTCAGCCTTAACATCGGAATGCTATTGCTTTACAACTGCACATTGTTAGTCCCTGATTGTTTCTGTCTAGGAAGTGACCTGAGTCATGGAATATGAAGAAGAAGAAGAAAATGGCATTACTTGGATTTGGCATCCAATTTGGCATTAAAAAAAAAAATACACTAATGGAGAAAATGTTTCTAGCATTTTTGCCACTAAGATTATCAAAACCTATTGAAGTATAATTGTTACAAGCAGATGTCTCTGAAATCAGAACTTAAAGTTTAAAACTTTCTTTTTAGAATTGAAAAATACCTGTTTTAGCATCACATTATAACTATATAAATATAAATAGGAAAACAGAATTACAAAGAATTTAAGAGGTAAAAAGACAAAGTAAACCAACCAGAACTAATTCTTTGGGATTTTTATACACACACATACACACACATTGCCATGTTTCTTTATAACAAAATGACTCTTAATAAGGTTATACAGTTTTTCAGGAATAATTTGGCTGTCAAAATCCCAATTAATATTATATTACGTAAGAATCGCAGGAGGCATCACTGATGGCTTTCTACTGAGGGCGGAGTGCAGCTCTGTCACAGAGAAATTAATGTGCTTGTTTGCAGCAGATTCAGTCAATGTAGCTCAACACCTGGCACTGTATCAATAAGGAAAACTCATCTAGCCTGAACTACTATCTCTGAACCTATTTTCATTCTTACTCCAATTTCATTTACGTATTATTTGTGAAGTTGATATCATAGAGTAAGCTAGAGTTGATCAGTTTGTAAAAATGAGTAAAACGTAAGTCTAAAATAAAATATTATGATATAAAGAAATCTTTCAAAAATATTTCATATTTTTGGAGTGGTTTTAGGTAGGGAACAATATAGCTTTGTGTTATATTTTATTGCTATGTGATACACACTAATAAAAGTATAAACTTATAAGAAATTACCTGTTGGCATCTTACGCTTTAAATAGTTTCATCCTTGGTCAAAAGATTAAGGTTGGAAAACAGCACCTAAAATGGTTTAAAATTAATAATTTATGAAAAATTATCATCCTTTGAGAACATTACAAAATGTCAAATATTCTAATAGTTAAACTCTTAAGGCTAAAAATAACTGAGACATATACTAGTGACAAAATTGTTTAGTTCGGGCATATTTTTGGTCCTTGTTACATATTAATAAAGAAACAGATAAAACTAAAAGACCAATATTAAACAGCATAAATGCACTAAATATAATGTAACTTAATCTTAAATCTTTCTCTGCAGGAAAGTGTAAGAAGCCTTGCTTTTTATAAACATTTTTAATGGAGTAATGAGCTACATGACGTACATATGAAAGACAGGCAGCCAGCGAAACTGAGGGACCTTAATTGACTCCTTGCTTTTCTATAAAGCCTATTTATAATCTGACTTTTAACTAGAACAGGTAACTTCCAGTTTCTCAATTCACTGAAAATAACCAAACATACTATAGAAAAATCTCCACCAGCATTTAAAATATTGACATTTCTATACATACAAACTTTAAAAGTTTGATAAAAACACTTTTAAGTTTACTACAGATTGCACATCGCATTTCGGCAACCTACCCCTGCCCTTTCTTTTTAAAAATGTCTGGCTTCCGGCAAAGCACAGGAGCTGCTGAGACACACTTATGTGTGAAGTTATCTGCTGTAACCGAAACAAAGGAGCTTAAAAATGCACATGGAGAGATGAATCATTTATACTTACATTATGATTACACACTCTCAATTCCATTTTACAGAAAAGCAACTCAACTCCTAAGTTAAGCACAAAGATCTATAACAGGAATCTCAATGTACAACTTCCTACTAACACAGGAGTAATAATCGAGGTCTTCTCCCAAAGCCAAACAGAGAGGAGAGAGAGAGAGACAGAGAGAGACAGAGAGAGACAGAGAGAGAGAGAGAGAAGCACTAAACCTATTTTATTTGAAATAATCACTGGTTCATTTTGCCTGTTTCCCAAACAAATAAGGCTTACCTCAATAAAAAACTTACATTCACAGACACAAAAATTTTGTTGTTACATATGCAGTGTTGAAAGTTTTGGAGCACTGCAGAGTACCGCAGCTGTGACTTGCATTTACGACGTGTCAAGAATCTGATTTCTAAGGTTGCAGTGGGGGTGAGGTGGGGGCAGGGCAAGGTGTGCAGAGGTCACGCTCCAGCAAGGGCACCACCCCTTCTGCACAGGCGTTCAGAGTTGCAAATGGAGCAAAATTTTACTTAGAAAAGTAGCCATACTAAGCTGTACTCCCAACCCAATGTCCAAGTTTTAAAGTTATGAAATAAGCCACATTCTTTAGACTCCTCACTCATCTGTGCATGTCTGAATCATTAAAGAGTGTTGTGTAGGTTTGCAGAGAAAAGGAATTTTAATGAGGAGCTAATAGACAAGGGTTCCACAGGGGTTTGCTTTTTTAAAAAATAAATTTCTTTACAAGCCACATAAAATTTATATGAATAATTACTTGAGAACTTATAAAACTGAAAAAAGCTAATAATAGCTACACTAGAACATGTAATACCATATGCAACTTGAGTATAAACCCTGAACTCTGCTAATTCTGATGACAATATAACTACCTGAAAACCATGGCAAAGCTTTTACACTATACATTAAGGAAAGCTAAGTTTTAAACATTGTAAATAATTTTAAAATAAGACTAAAACTATAATTTTGTTTAAGTACAGGGTTCTTTACCATGTACTTATTTAAGTATTCTAAGTGTTCAGGTGGTTTTCTTTTCTAAAACCACAATTCAGATATCACTGCTTAATGTAAATGCCAAAGCCAATAATATTTCATTCTTTTAAGAAAATATTAAATTCATACAATCACATACTGTAACAAGAATTCTCTTCAATGTTACATATTATCACTCACATTTAAAGGCATTTTTATATAGCTGTAGTCATTTATATATGCACACAAAGACATACAAGCAAATAAATCACTCAGCTTAGAGTGCCTAATTCTAAAATGATGTTTTCATGAAAAGTCAGTATACTTCATTACTTTATTTGAACTATAGAACTACAGTGTCTGCTAATGAGAAAATGACTACTCAATTGTACATGGGAGAGAGTCTGTGACATTATCCACTACACTCAAGATGCATTTTTTAGGAGACCTTTATGATGGCTTTGTATTTTTTGCACAATGCAAACAGTCTTTGGGATTATGTGATTCTGAAGTGGAAAACCTAAAGACTTTTCAGGCCATCAATTCACTCTAAATTAAAGACTTGGTCTTTAAGAACAATTTATTTCCCTATCTACCTATCAACAAATACGTACTAAGTAAGCCACAACCCTTAAACAAATGATAGTCTCTTGTTGGGCTGCGGAATGACGAACCCATAAATAAGTAATTACAAAAATGCTTTCACTGACTCACAAGCTGTATTTTTTCTTACATAAATTAGAATTTTATGTGCTTCAACCTAATATTCCCGTATATTAACACACACTAAAACAAGGCTTATTAAAGAAAAGCAGGGAAAGACTCCAAGAGTATTATCTGTGCTTAACCGTAAAAAAATGAGAAAGAGTTTGTAAACAGAGACGGATAAATATTCCAGAGAGAGGTAACAGCCTGTCAAAGGCACAGAAGAAACCAATGCCAGTGTTGTCAGAAGACACGGGATGGGTGCGTGTGCAGGTGTGTGTGGGTCTGTAAGAGGGTGGGATGGTGGAGGAAAGAGTGGCAGGAACACACAGTGTCAACAAGCTGCGTCTGGACTGCAGTCTTTCTCTGACAGGCAGTGGGACACCTCGGAAGGGGCGTTAGCAAAGGCGGGAATGGTCACATCCTCATTTGAATGTACTCGATCTAGGAGACAGATCAGAACCTGTAGAGGAAACAGCGTTAGGTACAGCAGTTTAGAAGTTATTTTAATAATCAGGGACAGGGAGGAATTAAAGCAATAGGAATCTGGATAAAGGGAGGGGTTGATTACAGGTGTAAGTATGAGGTGAACCCACAGAATATATGAACATGGTAAGAAATAAAAATCAAGTATAGTTTTCAACAAATGCTGAAACTGCACAAGTAAAGCAAACGCTATTTAATATGCTATTACGGAAACGCATATTAAGACCACAATGAGATACCACTTGACACCTACTAGAATGGCTGCAATCAAAATGATAGACACTAAGTTTTGGAAATGGTAAGAGAAACTGAAATCATCATACATTACTGGTAAGATTATAAAATGGTACAACCACTGTGGAAAGTGGTTTGATAGTTTTTTAAAAATCTAAACGCAGGGGCTGGTGCTGTGGCATAGCGGATAAAGCCGCCTTCTGCAGTGCCAGCATCCCATATGGGTGCCAGTTCAAGTCCTGGCTGCTCCACTTCCAATCCAGTTCCCTGATGATGTGCCTGGGAAAGCGGCAGAAGATGGCCCAAGCCCTTGGGCTCTTGCACATACATGGGAAGTCCAGAACACGCTCCTGGCACCTGGCTTCAGAGAGGCCCACTTCTGGCTGTTGTGGTCATTTGGGAAGTGAACCAGCAGATGGTGACTCTTTCCCTCTTTCTCTCTCACTTTCCTGCTCTCACTCTCTCTCTGCCTCTGTTTCTTTGTAACTCTGTGTTTCAAATAAATACATCTTTAAAGAAAAACCTAAAAACAGATTCACCATATCATTTATCCAAGAGTAATGGAAGCATAGGTCTACTCCAAGAATTACATGCAAATGTTTAGAACCACTATTCCTAGTGGCCCCAAAGTAGAAACAATCCAAATGTCCATCAACTGATAAACCGATTTTTTTAAAGGGATTTTTTTTTATTTGACAGAGTTACAGACAGTGAGATAGACAAGAGAAAGGTCTTCCTTCCATTGGTGCTTCCTCCTGGTCTCCCATGGGGTGCAGGGCCCAAGCACTTGGGCCATCCTCCACTGCACTCCCAGGCCACAGCAGAGAGCTGGACTGGAAGAGGAGCAACTAGGACTAGAATCCGGCACCCATATGGGATGCTGGTACCACAGGTGGAAGATTAACCAAGTGAGCCATGGTGCCGGCCCCTGATAAGCAGATTTTTAAAAATGCAGTATAGTCATATAGAATACCACAAAAAGTCCTCAAAAATTTCAGGGAAATACATTCTATGAGAAAACTATGCATAGATTTCAAAATTTTCTGCAATAAATAAACTTTTAATTTCATTTCTATGGACTTTCAGAAGTACTCTCATATTTAGCAATAAAAAAAAATGAAGCACTGGGGCCGGCACTGTGGTGTAGTGGGTAAAGCCACTGCCT